TCATTAAATTTTAAGATAAAAAGTTAAATAGATTAATAATTATAGTGTAAAAATTAAAAATAAGAATTAAATTTGCTTATAACTTTTAATATTTATAAAATAATTTTGAATTATATATTTATTAGAGAAATATATTCTAAACTAAGGAATAGTTTTGGTAACTATTGTTAAGTTTAGAGTACAAGTGTAATAAAAAGAACTAACCATATATTGACTCAAAATTTGAGTAGATGAATATTAAAACATCAAAACGCATAAAATATATATAATCCTTCACTAATATTAATAAAGAAATTTGAATATTATTAAACGATAATTTGTTTAATTATATATAAAATCAAAATTGAATTTTTTTTTAAAAAATATAAATCACTTTTTATAAAACATTTATAAAAAAATTTATATATTATATTATAATAGAAGTTGAAGCAGTTAAAAATGTTAACTATTTAAAAATATTATAATAAAAAATACTTTTAATAATCTGATTTTTCTCTTTATTATCCTATTGCACTATATATATACAATATATTCTTTTTAATATTATATAAAATTGATTAATTATCAGTTTATAATTTAACATAATTCCTGTTAACTTAGTAATTTTATTTATATTATTTTTTTAACTTATAATATAAGTAAAAGAATAATCAATCTAAAGAATATCATTAAATACTTTAAATGAAATTTTAAATTTACCTAAAATGAAACTTGATTGATATAATTTATAAATTAATTTTTAATATAATAAAATTTAATTAATTTTAAATAGTAGTATTAACATTAATATTTCACAGAAGTATCAGAAATAACTTTAAATTCACTTAAATAAATTTAGTTACTAATTAGATTGAATTTTATTTTAAACTAATACTTTGTTGATTGATTATATATAAAGATGATGTTGTAACTAATTGTAATTGGTGATAAATAAGCATTATAGAGTTGCAACTAGTTGTAACGTTAATAAAAGTTGAGTTACAATCTGTAATAAATAAGCAACTAGTTGTTGTATCATCTTTAATTATATATTTTATTGAATGAAATCTATTAAAATGTAAATTTTCTATAATTAACTATATGAAACTATTGCGATAAAAGAAAAATTACTAAAAATAAAAAATAAATTAAATGCTAAATCTGAATATATTATAGTTTTATCATATAACGAAAATTGATTTTTTGATAATTTCTCTCTTTCTATATTAATTTTCTAATAATTTAACTTTTCTACTTGATTTTTTTTTGATAACAAGTTTATAAATTAATTGATTAATAAGAATTTTGCAAAATTACTTTCTTCTTAATATTTATTATTTTATTATTAGCATAACTATGAACGAAAAAAATATTATTATAATATTATAGAATATATCTTAAAGCAGTTTAAATACTCATGAAAATATATTAATTTCTTATACTTTACAAAAAGTGAAATAAATTTATCAAAATACTGTTCAATAAAAATGATTGAGTATAAACAGTTAAGTATTTATAATATATTTCAAAAAAAATTATTAAAATAATTTTATCAAATATCTTGAATTTATTTAAACTTGTTAAGTTTTTAGTAAACAATATTAAATTATTTTTATTGATTGATATTTCTTAGTTGTATATATTTTTCACAATTTGATAAAGTAAAATATTTGACTTATTATACTCAGAACATATAACTTTGCTTATACTATTATTATTTCTGTAACTCTTCTATTAGATCTTATATTTTCTGTTTAAAATAGTATTGTTAAACTTGATAATAATAATTCTGATAGTAATGCTATTTCTGGTGATGATTATTTTATATTTTTCATAGTTTTAATCTATTCATAAAAATAATTTTTTAAGAGAAATTTATATAAATAAATTCTCATTATAGTATTACATTCTATACATACCTTTTTAACTAACTATTTGATTTTTATTTTATAAATATAATAAGAAGTTATTAAAAAATGTATACCTTAAATTTAAAGTAAAATTTATATACAGAAAAACTTTACTAACCTTTTTCAAGATTGATAATTTTTTTCATTACTGAATTAAATATGACAGATTTAAAAATCATTATCATTTTGGCATTGAGTATTAGGATTTAGATAAATAAATAATACGTATTTCTCAATAATTTATATTTAGAAATCTGTAATTATAATAAGTTATAACAATTAATAGTAACGTATTTTTAAATAATTTATTTTAGAAATTTAGTTATAATAATAAAGAATAATACGTTTTAATAATTTATTTTTAGAAATTAATAATATATCTTTAAAATCAGTAATTATAGTTAGTATAATGTAAACAAAAATATTAATATTATGTATCTTTAATTTTATTAGTCTATAATGAAGTATCAAACTATATATACTGTATATAAGATCTAAGGTTATATATATATTTATCTGTTCGTCTATTCAATAATTGAATTGATGTTGATTAGTCTTTGCAATTACACAAAAGTCTAGATAAAAGCAAATACTAATAAATTATTTTAGATTTAATAACGGTTTCTGTTTCCTAGTTATAAATATTCTTCATTTCATCTTACAAAAATTTCAACTTTTTTTTCTTTATACTTTTTGATTTTATTATAAATACTTTCAAAAAATTTCAACTTTTTTTTCTTTACCCTTATTAATTTATTATAAATATACTTTATCTTTATCTTATTAAAAAATTTATTTTTTTCTTTATCTTTTCTTATGAATTTTATTATTTCTTAATATATATTTTTCTAATGAATTTTTTAAAAATACATTACTTTCTTTTCAAAAGTTTATTTTTGTAAGTTTTTTTTAAGACTATATATTAATATAAAAAATAACTCTATTATGAAATTCTTTAGATCTGAACTAGTCTACAAGATTTATTGATTTTTAAGAAAAATTTAATTATATTCTTTACAATCAATCTGACCAATTAGAGTAATTTATATTAGATAATCTCAATATTTTAGTATGTATTTTTATTATTTATTTTTTTTTTTGAGATTACCTTTTTAATTTTACTAATTGAAAATTTTTTAATACAAATTTTCAAGTTAAATGAATAATGAATAGACAGAATGAATAGATATAAAAAATAGATTTGAATGAAGAAAATTGAAAGCAAGAATATAAAAGTAGAATATAATATAGATTTAAATTCTTTTTTAGATTTAATTTAATTTTAATTTTTGAATTTTTTTGATTAATTTCTAATTTATATTAATTTTTAATTTTTAATTAAAAATGGTAATGGTATTTTATAGGAGAGACAAAAGATGTAATATATAAAAATTTAATTATAATTGAATATAATAATTTATTTAAAATTGTTTAATAGAAAAAAAATATTTTTTGATTAATTAAAATTAAAAATAAAATTTGGTTTATTTTATTAAAAATTTTTATTTCAAATGTTTCATTTAATTGATTATTCCTTGATTCTTAAAAAATTATAATTATAATAATTAATAATTTTCTATTATTTTTATTTGTAAAAAAAAAAATAAAAATTATTTATTCTATTTTGATATCATTAAAATTCTTTCAATAAATTTTAACTATAACATTTTTCAATTTATCAGATAAATGATGAATATAATAATATTATTTTTATTTAAGATGATATGAAACTATGATCTGTAAAAGTTTATTTATCAACTTTGCTTTCTCTTTATTTTTTATCAACTTTAAATTCTTCTAGATAGGATTTTTTAATTAATAATACGTACAGTCAGTTTACGTTCCATTTTTTAAAAAGAACAGCTCATTTATAACTTGGTGATTATTCTCTTCTTCATTGTATATAATGATAGGTTTTGAATTCTTTTTCAAAAGGAAGTTTTTTTTCAAATTTTTCTAAATCAAAGTTAGTAAAAACTTCATAAAGTTAGCATATATAAATGATCAAATTATACTCACCTATTGATAGAAGAAATTAATGTTATCCACTTTATTATTATAAGAAATTAATGAAATAATCTCTTTATCAGGCTTTTATTGAAATTATTATCTTAGCAATTGTTGATAGGAATACTAAAATTTTTTTATTATATTAGAAAAAATTTTTTTAAAGTATCTATTCATCATATGGTTAGGTTATAAGTAATCAAAGTGGTGATAATCATAAAAAAATTTTGTTTTTAATATTTTATAAGGTTTTGATATATAATTTACCTTTTTTATTAAGTTTCAAAAAATTTTAATATAAATTTTTTTTAAGTTAAAAATTAATTTGCTTTTCAAATTGCTTTATACAAATTACAAAAAAACAAATATTACTTTATATGCTAAATTATGATTTTTTTTTAGTAATATTTTAAGTAATCCAAAAATTTTTTCTCTAAATTCAGAATAGTTATCGTTTCATAAGTTATCAGAAAAAATCCATTAATCATACAAAAATTTGGTCCCCATAATGATTCGAAGTTGATCCTAAGTATTCGCCAATGACGACGTACTTGTTTCGACATAAATTAGAGTTGTCCTTGGATCCAGTCAATATCTTTACTATAACGATAAAAATTCATATTAAATTAAGATAGCATTAAATGACACGTGTTAGAAAACAAGGTTCGTTGCTTCATCAAAAGTTACAAAAAGTCAGGTATTATTTTTAGAACATACCAAACGTCAAGAAAGTCTTCAAAAAGTCGAGTTTCTCAGGCGTTGAAACAGAAATCAAGATCACCTTATTTATTATCATCAGGATTTCAAAAGAGCGTCTTATAAATGTTTGTCGTAGTCAATTTTGATTTTTTATTAAATAAGGTAAAAAATTTTTTTTTTTTTTGCCAGAGACGAAAGAAAATACAAAACGGTTCTCTTATTCTTTTACGTTATAAATCTTTGTTGTTATCAAAATTTCTAAATCTGAAGTATCAAACTTTATCACGAGTCACATAATATCAGCATTTATCTATTCCTGCTCAAATCACAAATTTTTGTAATTTTTGCGCATAGGATTCACCAATTTCGATATTAATGGACAAGCCATGCGTCGTAATATTTGTATCAAGCTTTGTTTACATCGTGTTTCTTGACATAATCAAAGGAGTCATCACCAAAATCATTTTGTATCAACCTTGAGGATCTGTCTTTAGCATTTTCACTGGAAATGGTTGTTTCTTATTGCAAGACGTTTGTTCTTGGGCTTGGACGGAGGAGCTAATCCATTCGCATTTTGCTCATGGACTTTTCACGGTGACGGACTTGAGAATTCACAGGTCTTAGTGAAGTCCTCGTCATCAAATTTCTGGTTTGGGACACTTTGTATTCCGCATAGCATCATCAGCATCAGGATCTGGAGGAGCGATGTCCGGGCTCTCACTTGTATTTTTCTTGAAATTACATTATTCGATTCGAGAGGTGGATCTGCTGCGACAAAGGAATTCGTCAAACTTGAAAAACAGTCGAGAGATCACGGGTATGTTTCATTTTATGTTAATCTGTTATCTCCCTAGATCACGTTCTTTGATTTGCTTATAATATAGTTAGATTTGCTTGATTCATTAAAAACATTACAAATAAGCTAACGCGCGAATTAAAATGTCTGATCAATTAGACGCAATGACTCTTCCCTATATGAAACGTGCAAAAACACCTTAGGAAGAGATTGTATGAACTATGCGATCAGTCAATTTGCGACTATTAATGATGAATTCAATTGTGAAGATATGAAATTAATTACGCAACGATAAGAATCCTCGGTTTTCTGGGAGTCATATATAACTGTCACCTGAATATATAGATTTTGATGCCATAATAGAATCTCGTTTGTTAAAGAAATGTCACAAGTATGTTTGTGGTGATGTTCAAACAAGATTATTTTACTTTAGCGTAAATTGATGAAATATTATAAAAGGGCATGGTGTTAATACACCCGATATAGTTGAAGAACTCTAGCTTATATTAATAGTTTTATATATGATGGTTAAGATTTTACATAAAAACCGACTTTCAATATGAATAATCGTTGTGGCAGATTGGTAAGATCTCTTTGATCATAATGTTATTCTCAATAATATAACTTGTATCTTGGTGTTGTGTAGGATGAGATGACTCCAAATCCATTGTGTACAGAAATGCCAAAAGGCTGGCATAGTACACATTTATGGATGACTATCGATATATCTTTTCGGATATTCCATGTACCTTTCAAATTTTTTTTTCCTTTTTTTCAGTTTTGTGAAAAGGCAGGCATGTTTAGCCTCGAAAGGATTAGGAACATTAAATAATTCCGAAAGTAACCATATAAATATTCGCACCTTAGGACCTAGGAGAGTTTAATTACAAAAGGAGTTTTATTTTCGGACGAAATATTATTAGCCAGATAATGGATCATTCGAGTTGTTGGTTGTGATTTCATATCTTATGTCAGTGGATTGTTATATTTTTGACATTAAAACACGATTTTTTTTTTTTACTGAAAGTCCCGGTCATAATAAAGTGATTGCAGTTACACCTTGGAAAATAATATTCGAAAGGGTGAATTAATACTATTTAAATTCCTAAATCCAGTAAATAAATTTAATATTATCATTTTCATTAATTTTAAGGAATTCCAAATTACAATCAATTATTTTTTATTGATTAATAAATGTTTACCCTAACCCCCACGTATTATATTAAATAATAATCCCGATCTATGATCTTACAGGAAGTTTGGGATCGATTATTCAATATTCGTGTTTTTAGTCATGATTCCTATACGGTGAATTAATTCACCAATTACTTTTTCAAACTGTATATTGTCTTTAATATTACGATTGAACCATTTGTCCTAATCGCTTGTTTCAGCACTAAGCTTTCAAGCTAAACCTGATAAATTTAAATTTCATAGATATTAGTAATTTAATAGAAGTAATATATATTTTTCTTATCCATCATTAATATCTTGTTTTTTCATAGAAAAGAATTTCGTACTTCATTAAAATTAATGAAATTTTTGTAAATTCTGATCATATAAATAATTAATACAATACATACCAAGTGTTTATTGTCACTAAAAAAACATGGTTGAAATATAACGATTACCGATTTTATTTTACTTACTGAATACATCATGTGATTGAAATATTACTAAAAAAAAAAAAAAAGAATCTTGCTCCTTATAAGGATCGAACTTATGACCTTCGCGTAACGGAGACCTTGAGTTAGGTCTTATTAGCACGACGCTCTAACCAACTGAGCTAAAGGAGCTGGAATAGTTATTTGAACTGAAATTATTAATTATTTGAATATCATTTAAATTAAGCAAGAAGGTAATTTTTTTTTTTTTTCCATGAGGCAACGAACAAAAAAATAATAGCTTTTTAAACACAGTTTAAAAAGATGCAAATCATCTTTTGTATAATGGTTTATAAAATTTTTATTAACCTTTCAATTTATTAATACAAAAACTAACACATTTCTTAAATTTTCAACAAGGTAGAAATGAAAAATTTTTTTTATAAAATTCATTTTTTGAATAATATAGTTATTGGGTTTTCACTGATGACGATTGGGATGTCTTCTCAATCCTTTATCTGACCACATTTTATGTGCCATTGCAAATATTCCACCACTTATAGCTCCAACAACAATTACAACCATAGGTAAAGCTTCCGGAGGCAAATTTTTTGCGGTTCTAACAATACGTTGATTAAATGGAACAAGTACTTGAGCCATTTTCTTTGATTCAAATATGTCGAAGTACTAAAAGATGAGGGTACCTAAAGATTACTAAAAATTGCTCGTTTAATTTTGAGAATTTCAAAATAATTACCACGATATAATGTTTTGATTGAGCAAAGCACGCGAATTGATATCAATCTGATTTTTATGAAAACTTGAATTATTATTATTATTTTATTTTTATTTTTATTATTATTATTTTTATTTTTTTAGAAAAAAGAAAAGAACGAACGTTTAAATAATCAAAATTTTTTTGCCATTTTGGAAAAACTTAACGTTAATTAAAAAGCATAATACATCATCATAACGATGTCATGATAATTGTAATATTTACGTATTTACGTTTTTTTTTTAAATTCTCGTAACCTCGTTTTTTTTTTGAAAATTTTTTTTTTTATGATTCTTCCCTGTGGCTGACAATTTTGGATCCCCTCTAATCTCCCCCAGTTTAACGATAAATTTTTTAGGGCCTCTAGGGAGGGATTATCTTAGATTTTCTATTATAACAAAAAAAAAAAATATAGATCATGACAAATAATATTTAAATAAAAAATCATACAGGTATTAAATATTATCATGTGAATATTCTTTCAAATACTTACTAGATATATATTAACTCTAGATTTAAATTTGAAACTTAAATTTCTTGATTGGGACAAGTGCTTATCACATGAAGAGATCTAAAAAGATTTAAAACTTTTGCCCAAGAAAAAACCCAAACTTTGTTTGTTTAAAACTTTGATGTCTTGAGCCGTATATCACACAATAAATTCTCAGAAATCACCTAATTCAAAAAAACCCCTTATCATCACAAAAAATTTCATCAACAAATCACACAATAAACCATCAATGGGTTACAAAAAGTCAAGTTTTCCATAAAAAAAAATTACAATGAAAAAAAAATCACTTATTTTTCTTTCTTTTACACAATGGCGTTTAAAAAAGTTACTTTGTTAATGATTTACATTTTTGGTTAACAAGAAATCTTCCTCCACAATTAGATCTGGTATCGTAAATTTACTACCCAAGATTTTGGTTTATTCCCAATGAACATATTAAAGGGTAAGGATCTTCGTAATTGATAAAACCTGCGATAACCCATATTTGGTTCATATTTTTCCCCTGAAAAAACGTTTATCAATACAGATTTACATTGGTAGATCTTTGCTTAAAAATCCATTCGTGAAACGTGAGACGAGATAAAATTCATTCAACTTGCTTCATGATCGACGTATGATTTTCAACATGAATTAATTAATTTAAAATTTGCTACGGGTTTTACCGACATATGCGAATAAACAAATATGTACACCAAAGATCTGATATCACATGATTCGATAAATCTACGCTTCTTAATGACAAATTGGCGTGTTTAAAGTTTGAAAATTAAATTATCTCATTAGAGACTAATCTCTGATTTATTTATTTATTTTATTGACTATGTTCAATAAAGAATCTTAAGTTACATAGGTGGAGATATGTCTGAAGGTTTCCTACTAAATTAAAAAAATCATAATTCCCGTTCATCTTTTTTTTTTTTAACTATTATCTTCATTTTTTTTTTCATATATTTCTTCAACGATCTGTTTTTGTTTTTTTTTTTCTTGTTTTAAAAAAAAAGTTTATCTTATCTTACATTAATTTTTTTTTTTGAAAACGAAAGTAAAAATTTAAACGAATAAAAAAGTTTTTTTTTTTTTTTTTTTTTAACACGCGATGATCTTATATGTTCAAAGTTGAGGTGTGAATAAAATGAGGTTTGGCTTGGTGAGTCATCCTCTATCATATCTACAAAATAAAATTTTTTTCTCTTTATTGGATATTCCCACAATCCTGATCTTAATCTAAACATATCTACAATAATCCACCATCTTAACACCTCAAATGATATATATCTTCGAAAAAAAATTTTTTTTTTTACGTATTCAAGTAATTTCCATTAAGGGATCCGTTTATCTGATGATTTATTGGTGAATCGGGTCCCATGCGTTTAGAAGGATTTTGCATTATTTGTGCTGACGGATGAGGTGATGCGAGATGTATTCCTCCAAGAATTCCCATTGTGGGCTTGGGTTGAGTGATAATCGTTTGTTGCTGAAGGATTGTGGTAGAAGGTAAAACTGGCGCATTGCGGGTCATTTTATGTACAGATGCCTGATGATGTTGTTGCATCGTCGAAAGTGCGCGTTTGCGAGTCAATTTTGCGAAGTCTAATTATCGTTTAGATATAGTTACATTAATAACATTGATTAATAAAATAAAGTACCGTTGAGAATAATTATATGAACTCACGTAAACCACAGGCATTGCAGAGGGTTCTGGCGCCATCCGGACCTCGACGCCATTCTGGAGTCTCGGATATATTACACGAATGACATCTTCCGGGAGGCGCAGCACGTTTCTAGAATATTTGACGATCAATTAGGGACGACGACGACAATAAAAAATAAATAAATAAATAAATAAAAAAACTTACGCTCCGCTTTCGATATTTAGTGCGAGTGGCTGAAGGGCCAACCGTCGTCCTTTTGGTTCTGATTAGGTTTATTGTATCTTGGTCATTCTGTTCGTTTAAATATAATAAAGATATTATTTATTTATTTTGGATACCTGAATGAACCTGGCAATTTAACAGGACTTACCGATATGGTATGGCCAATTTCACTTTTAACCCCATTCAATATGCCTAAAATTTGATACGCCCTGTTGATCATTTCGGGAACCTGCTGTTCCAGGTTGACAACACTTGCAATGGGCGTTCCCGTGGGATTGGAGCCCCAGTGGCTAGCGTTGGGTGGATATGGTCCAAACTTACTCATTTGATTACGATATTCACTATATTGTGTTGCAAAATGACTAATTATAGTACAATATTCTGTGATCTAATATTGATAAAGGTGTTAACATAAACCTGTTTACGTTGTTTAATCTAGATCGGGAAATTTATATCATCATTTACCTTTTGCATCTCTGCCAACGTTTTGTCCATATTCTGTGTTCCACTAGCACTTTGTTCTCCGTTATCTTTAACGTAAGTTCCATTGTTCTGAAGATAATCTGGAGCATAATTATTGCTAACAAATCGAACCGGAAGTTGTATTGGTTGTATCGGTTTCATTTCGATATTTTGATATATCGTTTTTTGAGGAGAGGAAGTGCTTGAGGAGGTGGATGATTGAGATGATCGTGGGGAATGCGAGATGGCCTGAGGTCTTGTCCACATTGTGGAATTTTGAGCAATGTGCGGTGATCGTGATGGCAAGTTTGAATGACTAAAAGTGTTATTTGAGTGTTGCTGTAGCGACCCATGTTGATGTGAGGCTCTAATTCCATTTTCAGAGGACCGCGATACCATGGGTTGTTGCTTTGACGTATTGTAAAAAGCGGATTGTTGTGAATGTAAATTCATATTTCCTGTTTGAGATGATGGAGGAGGACACGGGGAATAAACTTGTTGATGTTGTTTCACAGATGATGATGATTGTTGAACGTCTGACGAAATATTCTCAAAATGTTTTATGGAAGGCAAACGCATATCGGGAGCGATTGCGCGCTGAGATGAATGAGTCACGCCATCTTGTGGCAGACGATGATCAGAATAGTTCAATTGTCCCGATACGTGAGAGCCATGATCAGGGGGGCACAAAGGGGAGCTTGTTCTGGAAATATTATGTTGTTGTTGTTGTTGTTGTTGTTGCAGTTGTTGCTGCTGCTGTTGCTGCTGCTTGGGTTCTTCGTGGCCCACGCAATTGTACCTCTCGAGGTTGTCCAGTGTTTTGTGATGTGACGTCATTGGTGAGCGATTTACGGAATCCGAAATCTCTCTATGAACTTCCGATAAACCATGCTGTGGTGTTGGACGCAACAATACCGACAATGGCGGAAGTACTCCTTTCGATTCCGACATCGTTTCGTGACCTCTGTGATTTTTGAAATTTATTTTTTAAAAGTGAATTTTACGTATATCGGAATCAAAGAGACGTAAAAAAAGAATTTTAGCTTACGGTGAAGGCATATGCTGTCTGTTTATAGGTGACGTCACGATGGATTTTGAGCCGGTCATGTGATCGATCGACGGAAGCGAGCAAATGCCTTCCATGTTACTGGGAAGCTCGGTTTCAAATAAAAGGGTCTAGATAAAAAATGGCGTCGTGAAGAGACCAAAAAATTATAATGAAATTCGTTAATTTTATAATGAAAGGTTCTAACTACAGAATCTAAAAGGTGCGAGTCTAATCCGAGAGAGTATCGTCGTAACAAGTTTAAAAAACATGGATCTACGCTTCATTTTTAAAGGAATTTTTTGTTTGTTCTGAATCAGGTCTTGCGCCCAGTATTCATATTTTTTTGTCCTGCAGAAAATGCAAAGTATCACATGGTATCACAATGTGCTGATGGTATCCTTATCTTATCAAACTCATTCATTCCCAAGTTCGTCAAGTAGGATCCTCAATCTGTTTTGAGAGCATAAGCCTGAGTTGCCCTTCTTACTTGGTCATATTGTTTTATTTTGTGATATATATATTTATCATTTTTTTTTTCTTTATTTTTTTTTTTTTTTTTTTTTTTTTTTTGGCTGGGGTAGGACCCGAAATGTTTTGGTCAAAAGATTCCGCCAACTGACAGAAAATAAACAACATAACAAAACAAAGAACTAAATAGAAAGACCCTTGTACATTGAAGTTTAGTGCTCGAAAGTTGATTGGTCGACTCGATGTATGTGTGATGTTATACATGTTATACAGGCTTTAACACTTACACGAAAGAAATAAAATCCAAAAGTTTGTCTTTTAAAGCAGCCGAAAAAAGAAAATTAAAATAAAATAAATTTCTTTTTCCACTCGTCGTTTTCAATTTCTTCGTTGACTGAAAAAAAAAAAAAAATGAAATGAAAAAATCACGCGATATAAATATAAATGTGTGTGTATGTGTATGTATCTCTATTTTCTGAGATTAAATTTTTTTTTTTTAAAAAAAAAAATCAAAACCAAAATTCGAATATTGGTTGATTTTATTTAAAAAAAAAAAAATTTTTTTTTTTTTTTTTTTTACAGAAGGGGGGGGGGGTGTAATCTGTGTTAACGCGATTTACAATGTGTTTACCTTTTTTTTTTTTTTTTTTTTTTTTTAGAAAAAGGGAAAAAAAAGGGTATTTGACAAAAAAAATCGCGAGATTTTATTAAACTTTGGGAACGTATTTATAATTTAAATGATTTACTTAATGATTGACCTTTTACTTTACAAGTTAAAACACACAATAAATTATCACAAAACGACATATATATGCGTTATTCCGTGTGAATTATTGATTAAACAATCCGATAAATAAATTGTTATAAATAAATTGTAAATAGAAATTTAAATCTAAATTAACCTGCTTTTGATCCTTTTTTTGATTATAAGTAAGGGAGCAAATAAAAAAAAAAAACGCTGGAAAGGTATAATTAATTGTAAAGGAGGTAAGATTGTGTTGCGAATCCATAATAAACACAACAGATAATTTAGTTATAAAATAAACAATTACTCAATTGGTGCATGATAATATTTATCACAGAATAAAAAAGGTTTTGCCGGATGAAATCAAGTATAGTAGATTTGTGATAAACTTTTTTTCTTCCATAAGGAAATGGGCGTACAATCTTTGGTTGAACTGTTACTTTGATCGAGATTTTTTTTTTTTTTAATTTTATACAAAACCTGGATTGCAACTTGTGTTTTTTTCCTTGCATCCCTTACCACAATTATTCTTGTGGGTAACCTATCATAAGTAAGTATCCTACCAGCACATGAAAAATCGTGTGTGAGTGGATTACTTTATTAAATTATATTTAAAAAAATGTATGTTTCTCTCTTAACAATGAATGATGGTGGATGATGATGATAATGAAAAAAGAAAAAGGAAACCAAACCAGACCAAAACAAAACAAAGAATTGAACCTTAAAAAAAAAAAAATAATAATAAATAAGAAATAATGAATGTTTTTCATGATATTATTATGTTTACAATTTATGTGTGTGTAAATGAAGAAAAAAAAAAGGTATTGTGATGAGGAAATCTAAATTTTTTTTTTCATTAACATAAACGTGTAATTCAAAAATGGAAGCCAAGATTTTCTAATTTAATTTTTTTTACGCCCATGGAATCATAAATGGTAAGATGAAAGAAGGCGCGTGAGTTCTATCGAATTTGGATATTGGACTGACATTACTATAACACAATATAAATATTTACAATAATAACCTTGCGAAACTATTTGCAAACTTTTGTACCATATAAATAAATGCATGCATTCACTTTGGATTTTTAAAAAATGCATCTCTCATGCTTAATCATTCAAATCAATTAAATAATTTCTGCATGGTACATGTGCGATGCTTTCTTGTTCATCCAGCTTCTATGGGAGAGTTGATTTCCCCTATCAGTTGTAAGTGAACCTTTTTTTTTATTTTATTTATTTATTTTTTTTTTTTTAAACTCGTTTTCATGTTTTCATGACACAAAAAATTTTGGAAGTACGGAACTCGAAATAAATTTGTCTTTACACAAGGATTTTCAATGCATCAATGAAAAGCCTAACTAGACAAACTCAATCTAAAATAGAAACTTTAATCAACACTAAATCAGTATTTTGATCTCACAGCATCACCCCTAATTGACACCATGTGTGTGACTTTGCAGCAGACAAACAACGAAAACTCGATCCTAACATCCCACAAGAATTCGATCGTATCCATCGTTGATTTTGTTGATCTCAATCATACTGATTTGGAAATAAAAGTGATGAACGGGTGACGCTTGAAAGGATGTGACTGTTAGGAGTATGTGATCCTCACCGTGAGCTTCCTTGGTGACCGGAACATTTTCCTCAAAACCATATCTCAAAGCGCTTACCCGTACATTTCCGAAAATCTTCATTAAGATTACGAAAAGATGAAATATAAAATATTATTTTTAATAACTTTATTGCTTAACATGAGATTGAACACAAATGACACTTTAAAGGAACCCATTAAGAAGGTATCCTGTGGGGGAAAATATGTCAGTACTTGGATGGGCGAAATCGCAAGACAATATGAAAATTACAATCGAATGAAGTTATTATGTAAACCCATTTGAGAGCACAGATAACGAAATTCATGCGAGAATGCTTTGACAGTAAATCTTGCCTGACTACGCAAAAAATGATCAACAAATTTCCTTGATATATTATATTATTTTTTTTTTTCTCTGCAGATTCTATTGTGTTCATTTTTATCAAAAAAAAAAAAAAAAAAGAAAAAAGAGATTATCTAAATAGTATCTAAGATTATGATAAGTGGATCATTGTTTTCCGGTTCCTTTGTATTTATTTATGTATTTATTTATTTTTATTCACTTTTTTTATTTTTTTTTGTTATAATCTTTTTTTAAACATAAAGCAATTTCCATTTTGGTTTCGTTTACATTATGATCTTATTTATGTTGATTATGTTGATTCGATTGGCGAAAATCGCAGATCCACTTTTGGGAAAGTAACCCGAAAAGTCTTGAACTCGTTATCACGTGAATATTTGATCGGTTGCATCGTGTGCCATCATCATTTACAGATCTACCTATCTGCGGCTCTTATCCTTTGTTACAATACATATATATATTTATATACGAAATGATTCATTGGAAAACTTTGTTAAAAGTTTTTTTTTTTTTTATTTTCTTGCATAATATTTTCGTAAGAATCCCAGCCGAAAAGAATATTATAATAATATTTATTTGTTTTCATTATCTTTCAAAAGTAAATGAATCAACTAATTAGGAAGGTCATTGTGTTATTTTTTTTTTTTTTTTTTTTTTTAACAAAAAGAAGAAAGAAGGTCCTTTTTAGATTTTTTAATGCAAATATTTACCCAATACCCAATATTTTTGTTTATGTTGCACGAAACTTTCCTGATGCAGGCGCAGTGGCTGCGCATCTTCCGATCGTTTTGATACGCCATTTTTCTCAAGCTGAATTGATCCTTAAGATAAATAATTTCCATATATCGTTGTTACGGTTGCGTGGTGTAATGGTTAGCACCCAAGACTCTGAATCTTGTGATCCGAGTTCGAATCTCGGCGCGACCTTTTCTTTATTGAATATTATGCCGTCACCTGAATTGACGTAGTTTTTTTTTTGATTTTGATCTTGATCTTTTTTATAAGAGTCGCATTGATTTTACTAAGAATGAATGCTTTTTTTAGAAGCGATGTGAACAACTCCTTGATAATCAACGCTGTGTGATGCATATCTGAACTTTCATTGGGGGGTCTTGAAAAATTTTTCAGAAAAATTACGTAATTATAAATTCATCATACTTTGTGGTTAATTACAATCCAATCATAAGAACCAATCTATTATTAGATTAAACTTCTTTGTCCCAGATCTCAACTCAATTCTCTATTCCTTCACCTCCTTTATACCCTTCACCTTAACACGACGCGAAACTCTTAATACGGTCAAATATGTTCACCTCCAAACTCGTTAATGTCGTTGTGTCTAAACGAGTCTTTTCTTCTTCGGCGGCTAACGCTGCGAAGGTGGCAGTTCTCGGTGCCGCCGGTGGTATTGGACAGCCACTCTCGCTGCTACTTAAGCACAACGAGTTGATATCACACTTATCACTCTTTGACATTGTGAATACGCCTGGAGTGGCCGCTGACATAAGTCACATTAACACCGCAAGCAAGGTTTCCATTTTTATATTTTAGTCTGTGTTTATAAAAAAAAAAAAAAAAAGAACCGATTCCCTTGATGGTTTCCCAAATCATTCATCACCATCATCTTTTATCAAAGGTCACGGGTTACGTTCCTGAAAATGATGGGCTCAAGTTGGCTCTAACTGATGCCGATGTCATCGTCATTCCGGCTGGCGTTCCTCGAAAACCGGGTATGTCCCGTGATGATTTGTTCAATGTACGTTGGTTGCTGTTTACTTTTTGATCGTAAAGTTAAATCGATTCTTTTTGATTCTTTTTTTTTTTTAAAAAAAAAATATATATATATATTTATATTTATTACCGATTGAAATCATTTAATATAATCAGACTAATGCTGGGATCGTAAGGGATTTGGCCACTGCCGC